CCATCAGAGAAAAATCGCGTCATTCCATACATATTACTGACCAGTGTCACGTGATCAACATCGCTACATCCTCTGTGTATACTATCTTCGCTAATATAGTATATCATACACCATTTCCTTCCAAGGATACATCATGGGAATGCCAAAATTCATAAAGTTTAGAACAGAATCAGCGAACTTATTTGTGTCTGGTCAAACCCTGATGGCAGTCATGTTTTTTTATTATTAGAGGACGCATACGCGCGTAATCATTCCATATTTGGAATTCGCATTTTCTTATATGGAACGCTGACATTTTTGGCGTTTCAATGACAGGTGTGTTGGTATCGTCGCTTGGGACTCAATTCCCACGCGTGCGCAGGTGACGGTCCTTCCGTTTTAAGCTTTGAGTACAGAGTCGGTCATAGATATACATTAGTTGATAATTCCCGCATTGCGTAATATGACATAACGCCATGAACTCATCATGACGTTTGTGGGTATGGAAGCTATAAACACGAAAGAATGAATGATGCGGTGTATCCCGCGGCCGTGTTTTCACCACCGCTAAAGCTTGTGTCCTATTTGTAATTTGTAATTGGTAATTCGGCGTTTTATTCTATTCATATGCAAATATTGGCAGACGTGCTCTCGTCGCAGTGTTAGCCACAGCATAAGCAACGAAAAAAGCATACAGACAAATGAAACAAACAAACAAATTCAGGAAATTTTTTCTGAGACTTCATAGGTTTGTATATTTCCGTGACTCGCCATCCATAGAGTGCGTGTTATTGTATATGGGGGGTATTTTTTTAACATTTTAACAGCACACCTATACTGCAGCTATAACAGTGGCACACAACTTTGATTTTCTCATTGTTTTTAGTTTGAACTGTACCGCACCGGTCTATAAAGACATTTGCATAATTTACCATGGAAATACCGAAACAATAACCTACTTTGTGCAGAAAAATGATGAGGAGGTTTCAGTATTTAAATATAACATTAAAAATATGAACATAGTATGCCGAGACAATTCGAGCCATGAAAACACAACTTTAAAAGAGACTATTTTTATTTTATTTGCGTTATTTTAATATGCTTAACATTGAATTTGCAAAGTTGTTTATATGAATACCTCTGTCGATATGCAATAATGAGTTTTTATAGTACACTACATTATAAAACAGTCGTGATTGTGATAATATCATGTGTTTCATATACATTTATTTAATTTTTTAAGCTTGACGATATAGATGGTTTGAATATCATTCATATAAGTGGTACAAAAGGCAAGGGATCTGTGTCTGCTTTTTGTGAAAGTATATTACGAGCACATGGACTGAAAACTGGGTTTTACAGGTGCGTAATATTTGGTAATAATGACGTTTTTTGTAAAAACTATTCTATTGTTAGCAATCAATCACTCGTCAGAATATATGACTGCAGTGAGTGTTTTCTTTTTTTGTATAAATACCATACATTTCACAATTGATTCAATAACATGTTGTAAATCTCTTCTATTACAGTTCACCACATCTGATAGAAGTTCGTGAAAGATTCCGGATCAATGGTGTACCACTGACGAAGGAGAAATTTAGTAAATATTTTTTTGAAGTATATAGAAAACTAGAATCTACAATGGGAGAATTTGACAGAGCTATGCCAGTTCACTTAAGATTCTTAACAATAATGGCATGGCATACGTTCATACAGGAAAACGTAAGGTTACAAGTTAGATACATTTGTATTTTGATTATTGTCATTGATTATAGAAGAGAAATTGAAATGGTTACTAGACTGTATGTCCAATATACTATGAGGTCGTGATATTATGAGGTTATTACGAAGATGCCTCAAAGTATGCACGACCGATGCGCAGCGGAGTTCGATGCGACGGCGTACTGTCTGGGTGCATAGTTTTTGAGGTATCCTCGTAATAACCTTATCATTGTACATGTTTTCGTTCCAAGGATACATCCCGGAAATGCCGAAATCAGCGAACGTCTTTGTCTGGGGTCCGGTCAAACCCTGGTGGCAGTCATGCTTGTTTTTATTATTAGAGGACGCTTACGCGCGTAATCATTCCATATTTAGAATTCGCATTTCCTTATATGGTAGGGTGAAAATACCCTGTAAGATACCGCAAAATTACGCCACGCTGTAACTTATAGCGTTACGGTGACATATGTATAATAATAATGCTTACGTGCTCGTTGGTCTGATAAAAATGTTCACAGTCTGCTTCATTTAATATTCTGAATTGACGTTTACAAAATAATTTTATAGGATTGAGTGAACTCCATTTTTTTCTGATGGCTAAAACAAAGATTGTGAAAAAAACAAACACAAAAAACGTAACAGTTTAAAATTTAGGGAGTATTGCTAAAATTTCAGAATTACCTGCCCAGTGTCTGGTACACAGTTTTGATATATTTTTCAAACACTGGAATATTGTGTTATTGCATTTAAGAAGGCACCTATGTCATTTTCATTACTAACATGTATTATTAGAAATAGTAACATGCAGTGAACGTATTATACAAAAGTATGTTCATTTGAATGAATGAGTACCGAGTAATACTCGTGACTAATTTGATCGATTCATACAGTAATTCATTCAACAAAAAGCGCTTGTGTTCTAGAAATGTTTATTTTGTTGTGAAAGTTAAATATGTTACTTGTGTTGACTTAAATATCTATCATGGTGTACTATCGTTTCACTTTATTGTGAGTTACAACATAATATCACGTTTCACATTCAGCAATTTTGTAATTTTATTGACATAACGGAAAAAAATCTATAAAAACAATTTAACTAAACATATATTACGGTCACATGATATTGACATAACATTGTATTGTACTGTATTGATATTTTGATTATCATTGTAGGTTGATGTTGTCATTTTGGAAGTGGGCATGGGAGGCACCTACGACTGTACTAACGTGGTGAGACGTCCAACTGTCACTGGAATTAACCTAGTGGACTTTGATCATACTAAAATATTGGGAAACACGCTAGATAAAATAGCTTGGCATAAAGCCGGTATATGTAAGGTAGGCAAACAATTTGTAAATTGTAGGAACATCAGGTGTCATGATCTTTGTGTAATGGTTTGATTCAAAAAAAGCAATTAATAAAAACAAATTTTGCACCATGTATGCATAATTTTCAATGTTCATTGTGTTAATATTACCAGGTTACAATATTTCATATTGTTTAATATATTCAATAACTTTTTATATATTTGATGTTTGATGAATGGATGACTTTAAACATTTTTAAATGTTCAACTATGTTATCCCTTAGCCGGGTCGACCAGCTTTTACAGTCCCACAGTCAAAAGAAGCCACCGATACTATAATTGCAAGAGCAAAAGAACTACACGTATGTATACATTTTATAAAACTGAATCATCAGTTTCTGTAATTAATGGTACATTCTGATATACTTAAGACAGTACGGAGAATTTTGAGAAATTATCAAAACAGTGGATAATTTACCAGAATCGCAAAGTTCCAATAATAGCAATGATTTGAGATACAAACGTCAGACATTGCACAGGCAATTTTCAAATTTCGTCCAAGTTGTATTGTATAGTATTATAACTAGTTTGAAATTAATTATCAGAAATAATGGATATTGTCTGACTATATTACTCCGATGCAACGTAGTCATTTCCGGACTGTGGCCAACAAAAACACATTCTCACCAAGTCATTGAAGCACGGAGTAATGGCACCAAATAGCCAATATATTGGCAACATTTGGAGAGAGTATACTTGATGACAGAACATTCCCAGTCAGAACAAGAACTGAATGTCTTTGTATTATTGAATAGTATTAGAATCAATGTGGTTACTACATCGTGGTTGCGATGAGAATTTCAAATTTGGTATTAACAGATTGTGTAAAACGAGCCGTGAGGAATGTCTACAGAATTAAGAATGTCTACAGTTCGAAAACGAAAAAAATTACACCAGGACACAATTAATAAATTAAAAAGTGGTAAATTTACATATCAATATCATATTCAGCAGGGGTGCCTCTGTATTGAATAGAAATGCCCCAATCTTTAACAGGTTAGTTGACATTTACATCATGTAGTTATTGCCAGATATCTCATAAAGTACGCAAAGAATGTTCTTAATTATAAAGAAGTGGTTTCGTGA